TACTAATAGTAGCTAGTCCTAATACGCCCCCTCAAGATGTGCTGTGAACATTTTTAACGCACATCTTGATCATCAAAGGAGTAAGCACAGAAGCAGGTAACGGCTTGGTGAAAGCATCTGCGAGCTGAAAGTGTGATCTGATAGGAAGTAATTTCACCACCCCAGCTGTGATTTTGTCCCGAATGAAGTGACAATCGATTTCTATGTGTTTCGTCCGCTCGTGAAAAATTGGATTGTTGGCAATCTGAATGGCAGCAAGGTTGTCACAGTAGATCAAAGCTGGAAGAGAAGTGTCAACCTGAAAATCTGCCAATAATTGTTTGATCCATAGAATTTCACTGGTCGTGGCTGCAAGGGCTCTGTATTCAGCTTCAGTGGATGAACGGGAAATGGTAGGTTGTCGTTTTGATTTCCAGGCGACCAACGATTCACCAACAAAAATGCAGAACCCCGTAGTAGACTTACGCGTGTCAACACAAGAACCCCAGTCAGCATCAGAAAACGCACGAATTCTGATAGGCATGGTAGAAGCTGAAGAAAAATAAACGCCTTGACCAACACTACCCTTCAGATATCGAAGCAAATGATGAACAGCTTTAAGATGAGGAAGTCTGGGCTGTGACATGAACTGACTGAGTTTGTGGACAGTGAAAGTAATATCAGGCCTAGTAAGAGTTAAATATATCAATCTTCCAATTAACCTCCTGTACTGAGAAGCATCTGGAAGTAAATCCCCCTCGTGTAGGCTAAGCTGAAGTCTCGCATCCATTGGACTGGTGGCAGGCTTGCAATCTAAATAACCTGCATCTTCAATTAGCTGCAAGGTATAATTCCTCTGTGAAATAACTATTCCCGAAGTAGCTCGAGCAATTTCAATCCCCAAAAAATATTTCAGATTTCCCAGGTCCTTCAATTTAAACTGAGAACTCAAAAACTCCTTTAAGGCATTGATCAGATCCAAATTCGGTCCAGTGATGACTATGTCATCCACATAAACCAACAATGCGATGAAGCTATGTCCAAAACCTTTGATAAAGAGAGAATAATCTGCCTTAGACTGGGTGAAACCATATTGAATGAGAGCACCAGAAAACTTTGAGTTCCATTGTCTGGAAGCTTGCTTGAATCCATACAACGACTTGTTCAGTTTACATACTAAATTCGCCCCCTGTTGAAGAGGTTTAAAGAGATCATAACCACGAGGCAGATTCATATAAACTTCCTCAAATAGGTCTCCGTTGAGGAAAGCGTTGTTGACATCAAGTTGTATCAAATGCCAGCTCTGAGAGGCAGCCAAAGTGAGTAGAACCTTAACAGTAACAGCCTTAGCAACCGGTGAAAAGGTGTCAAAATAGTCTAATCCCTCTTGTTGAGTGAAACCTTTCGCAACAAGACGCGCCTTATGCATTTCCAAAGTCCCATCAGAATTAAATTTATTCTTGAAAACCCATTTGCAACCCACAGAATGTTGACCAGCAGGTAAAGGAACAATGGTCCAAGTGTTATTTTGTTCTAAAGCTTCTAATTCACTCTTCATGGCATCTCGCCACTGAGGAAATTTCACTGCGTGATGGAAGAACTGTGGTTCAGGTTGGGAAGATATATTCAAAAGGAGATGTTGATAGGATGGAGAAAGGTTGTGATAAGAAAGAAAACGACTGATATGATAAGGCGGTAAAGAAGAGAGTTTTGAGTAATTGCAATGAAAGTCACGAAGATGAGAAGGAGGCCTAGAAATTCGAAGAGACTTTCGAGTATTAGATGAAGAAATCACATTGGACTGAGTAGTATCAATGACGACTGGAATGGAAACTGGAGGTGCAGAAGTAGGATGAGAGTTGACAGGAATATCAGAATAGGCAGCAGGGGACCTTGGAACAGAGGTCAAGGTCTGAGGGATTGATAAAGAGGAAGAAGGAAGAACAAGATCAGGAAAAGGATCTGAGAGAGAATGCCCTTCAACAATGGAATGAAAAGGAAAAATGTCTTCATGGAAGAAGACATCTCTAGAAATGAATATCTGTTTGGATACAATATCTAGAAGTTTGAAACCCTTTACTCCAGGTGGATAACCCAAAAAGACACACATCCTGGCCCTGGGTTGGAACTTGGTTCGATGAGCACTGAGAGTGGAAGCAAACCCCAAGCAACCAAAAACTCGAAGGTAGGAGTAATCTGCCTTGTGACCAAAGAGCAGCTCAAAGGGAGTATGATGTTGGAGAATGGGAGCAGGTGTTCGATTGATTAGATGGACTGCAGTAAGTATACATTCGGTCCAGAACTGAATAGGAATTTTAGACTGAAAAAAAAGAGCACGAGCCACATTAAGTATATGTTGATGCTTGCGCTCAACAACAGAGTTTTGCTGAGGTCTTTCAACGCAGCTGAACTGATGAATGACACCTTTCTCAGCAAAAAAATCTTTAAACGATAATTCATTGGCATTATCAGACCTAAATGTCTTTATTGTAGCATTGAACTGTGTGCCCACAAGATTAAAAAATCCTTTCACAACCTTGATAGCATCAGATTTCTGCCTTAACATATAGACCCAAGTGAATCTAGAATGATCCTCAACTAATGTTAGAAAATATTTATATCCAGAGTGAGAAGTAACATGATAGGGCCCCCATATATCACAATGCACAAGATCAAAAATACTGCTGGAAATGTTATTATGAGAATCAAAGGACAATCGCCTTTGTTTTGCTAAGGGACATATGTAGCAAGGTAAGTGCTTTCTGGAAATATCAGGAGAAATAAGCAACTGATCCTTTAATATGTCTAACCTTTTGAAAGAAAGGTGTCCGAGTCTATTGTGCCAAACACGGGAAGAAACAGAATTAACAAAGATATTAGAAACAGAATTGAAAACTCTGGCATCCATAACATATAGGCCCTGCACGATGCTACCCCTGCCAATCATCCTCTTGGTGGAAACTTCCTGGATTGTGAACTGATCATGGAAAAATTGTACAGTGAAGTGAGATCCTACAGTTAATGAACTCACAGACATCAAATTGAACTGGAATTGGGGAACAAATAAGACATCGTGCAGAATCAAATCAGGTCCTAGTTGCACATCACCACTTAAACTAACAGGTATACAGGTCTGATCAGGTAAGGTTATACTGGAATTAGTAATAGGTTTCAGGTTGATAAAAGCGGTGGCAATCGAACACACATGTCTGGAAGCACCGGAGTCCACAATCCATATATCCTTGGAAGGAAATAATGACTTATCAGAATATGACTTATATATACCTGCAGCATACGTTGGCTCAGTTTTGTCTTGATCAGTGGAGGTGGATTGTGATGTGGAAGATAGGTGAGTAGATAGCATTGTCATCAAGTCTTGGTATTGATTTGGACTCAGATTTTGCATGAATTTGTCAACCCCAATGTTCTGATTCACAGCCTTATCTTCCATCTGTGAATGAAGAGAAACTTGATTAACATTGTTAGTCTTAGAAAAATGTTGAAAAGTATCTCTTGGTTTTGGCTTAAATCCTGGAGGAAATCCATGGATTTTGTAACACTTGTCAATGGAGTGACCATGATATTTGCAATGAGTACAATATGGCCTATCTCTTTTCCAATTCCCAGGTGCACTCCGAAAGCCAGAATTGAACCTTTCTCTGCCAGTATCAGCACCTCGAAATCCAGAGTTAAGTCTTTCTCTATTATTTTCAGATCTGAAGGCAAAAGCAGCACCTGAATCTGAGGCAACATCAATGGATGTTGTGTGTAATTTTCTTTGATTTTCTTCTTGTGAAACTAGTGAGAACACTTTGTTAATCGATGGAACAGGATCCATAAGGAGTATTTGACCCCTCACTTGAGAAAAGGAATCATGTAGACCCATGAGAAATGTCATGATGTATTCCATTTGATAATATTTGTTCAACTCCTGAACACCACCACAAACACACCTTCCACAACTACAATTAGGTCAAAAATTAGTCAACTCTTCCCACAGAGTTTTAAGTTTGGTGAAGAACACACTCACTGTGTTCTGATCTTGCATCAGGTTAATCAGTTCTCTCTTCAATTGAAAAATTCTCGGACCATTACTTTGCTGAAAACGTTCTTTGAGATCGTTCCAGATCTCATGTGCTGAGGATGCGTAAATCACGCTGGCAGATATTTCCTTTGAAACAGAATTAAGGATCCAAGATATCACCATGTTATTATTCCTAATCCAGGAATTAACCAAATCACCTTCAGTATTTTCCGGTTTCTGCACAGATCCATCAACAAAGCCAAGCTTATTCTTGACCGATAATGCGATAGTCATCGCACGATTCCAGGAGCCGTAGTTTTCTCCTGTGAGCTGTTGATTCACCAGCACCAACCCTGGGCTATCAGAATGATGTAAGAAAAAGGGGCTTGAAGGCTCGTCAGTGATAGATTTGTTTGAAGCAGTCCTTGAATCAGATCCGCTTTCATGAAGAATTTGTTCCATTATGAGTTGAATAAGAAATCAGCAACAGATTTGAGTTAAAAAAATCAAAAAAAAGGAACGAGAGAAGGAAGAAAGAAATTTGAACACGTGAAGGAGGCGGAAGCTGGAGAGAAAACCGAAATCACGCAGTCTGATCTTCCTCAATTATGCTCTGATACCATATTGCAATTGAGAGGATGAAGAAT